TCACGAACCCGGGAAGTAACTCGTTGTAGTCCCTACGAGCCATTTTTGTAGGCATTAAACTGCCAGAATTTTAAAAGACAATGTTTTGTTTTTGTAATTAAAATTTCTAAACATTTCTTAGAACGTTCAAGTACAAATAACATCATACATCAGCATTCCATAAACATGACTTTTAGAATGTTTTGTCCTAACATTCATAAACGTTTAAAAACTTTGTGAGAACGTTCCCTGGTAGCTGGAAGCAAGAGACTTTAGCAGAAGTCTAGGAGAAACAACTGAGAAATTATTCTTTAATGATGTATCTTTGAGTGTCACGAATCTATCAGAAGAGGGTTTACATCTAGCAGCTCACTTAAAGCCCTTCCCAGTCCGTCCCCTTCATTTTCATTTCTCACTGCAGCATTCTCTTTGCTGTCTCGTAATGAACTCAGACTTAATTACTGAACTCTGGACGGCGCTTACAGCCCCACAACTCACAGTTAAGCCCCCTGTGGGAATGTGTGTGTGTGTTTATATTCATTTATTTCTCTTATGTAAAATATCAAAGTACTCCGCCAGTCGACTGTCCACTGCTTTTAAACTGCGCTCTCCCTAATGACCACAATTACTTCAGATAAATCCATCAGGCTAAATCAAATCAAAGCAGCCCATCAATTATGAAGTACTTTACAAAAACAACAGTCTGCCCTCTCGTACCTGTGTTTGTTTCTGAATCGTTTTATCAGCAAGACGTCATCTTGGAAACAAGACAGCAAACAACAACGCTGCCTCATTAGAATGCAGTATGATAACAAGGCCGCTCAAGGGAGGAGAGTCTGTCGTCCGCCACACCTCTGATGAAGCAAATCAGGTTTTAAAACCATCTTAAACTGCATCTTTTACAACCTCTAGAGGAATCAGACTCAAGCTATTTGTATTCGCTCTACCAACCAGTTAAATTCATGAAATTGGTGTGGGATCCCTGCTGATGTGGGCCCTATATGCACTTTACAGATTACAGAGTAAAAATATCACCACCACTCAAAACCTTGACATCAGTTACTGCAGAACACTTCATTTTTACATTTTTATAAGAAAATGTGAGTGGTGTTTGTTCATGTTGCGGTCATGTTAAAGTGTTCTGGGTGCTGCTTTCTAGGGCATGTCTACGTGGTTGCTAACTAGTCCAAGATGCAAGTCTTGGTGATCTTCTGGTCTGTAGATGTGGCTCCAGTCCCTCCTTCAATGGGCCCTATCATACACCCGGCGCAATGTGGTTTAAATAGCAAATGCATTTGCGCCCATTTGTGCGCCCATGGGCGTCCTGGTCTAAAAAAGAGGTGTGTTCAGGCGCATTGTTGGCGCGTTGCTATTTTGAGGAACTGAAAATAGACTGCGCCATTGACCAACAAAAACCTAGGGCCCTATTTTAACGATCTAAGCGCATGGTCTAAAGCGCACAGCGCAGGTGCACTCAGGGCATGTCCGAATCCACTTTTGCTAGTTTAACGACGGGAAACCGGTCGGCGCGCCCGGCGCATGGTCTAAACGGGTTGTCCCTAGTCTCTTAATGAGTAATGGGTGTTTTTTGGGCGTAACGTGCAATAACCCAATCAGAGTCTCATCATCCATCCCCTTTAAAAGCTAGTTGCGCTCGAGCCATGGCAGAATGTAATTTTTCATTTTTAAAAATGTTTCTGTGCTGCTGCGCGTCCCTGTGTGTGTATTAAGCAAAGTGGACGCGAGTTGAGCACCCGCCTATAGGCGCATATTACTAACGCACTCTCTAAATAACAAAGAAAAAATATTGGGGTACCAAAAATGTATTTGGACACTTAAGTCACACTTCATGTTTGAATGTCATTGCACTTGATAATAAACTATGAAAGCAATACACTGCTTTCAGAAAATAATTTTTATTACATAAAAATATGTAATACTGTAATATTACATAATATGTACAAATAAAAATATGTAATATTGTTTAAAATATACAATATTTTGTCACCTAATGCAATGACATTCTGACATTTCTGTGAGGCATACTTTTGGGGACCCTGTATAATGCTTTGTTTTTTGAAACAATTCGTTTTTTGAAACAATATTTACAGAGCACTAACAATCTTTCGAAGCACGTATCTATGCAGATATTTTCTAAATTAAGACACAACCTCTTTAAAATGAAATCCTTTTTTCAGATATTAAGTCATGCCCTCAACTCTGCAGCCAAGAACCTGAGAAAATATGATCTACACGTTACAGAATGCAGCCAAATACTTATTACTTACTCTGAATGCTATTCTCATTCCCCTTCGTTGTGCAAATTGAATGGATCAGATTATGTGGAATAATATAATATAATCTGACTATATATATGAAGCAATAAAAAACAATAATGAATACCATTATTTTGGCTGCATGAAACACACGCAACAAAAATGTCACAAAACTTGACATATTTCCAACTCATTCTACAATGCATTGAGACATTATTTTAATAACAATATAAAATAGAAATAAAATAAAAATATAATAAATTAGATATAAAATAAATAAAAAGAAAAATAAATTTTTCTGATCTTAATTCTTATTACTGCACACACACAAAAATGCATTACTATAATAAAAATGAAAAATATTTATATATTACTTAAATGGTATTTATATGTCATTGTCATATTTGTTAGACCTTTAATTCATACTGATTTCAATTTAAAATGTAATGAAACTAATGAGAATTTTAAAAATTTCATATTACAGTAATTAAAATTTGGGTGGTGAATGTGCTTAAAATTGCCATGAAAATAATCTTGATGTAAAATAAGCATTATGTAAAAATCTAAATGAAGTGTGATGTAATTACTTTTGTTCTTTTGAGCAAAACTTTGTGAGATTCACACCTAAAACAGCCAAAACGGAAACTATTATTAACACATTTTTGTTAAAGGTGCTGTATGTAGGATTGACAACTAGTGGTTGAACTCGGTATTGCAGTTCAAATTCAAAAAATTGGAGAGGGTTCCCCCCCAGGCCCCTCCCACGCAGGTTGCCAGATTGAGGACACCAACATAAACGAGCGCACATGACAATGAATAAAATTAAATATGCTGTGTTTTCCGTCAACTGGCAACCCGGGGTGCTGAAATACAATTGGGTAAACTGGCAGTGGGCGGGTTTCTCAGACCAAAACAAAGACAGACATTCCGGCCCAGAACGCACATTTTCAAAGGAGAATAACTGGTGAGATAAACAAGTATGTTAACTTAGCATGTTTCTTAAATATCTGCAAACATATTATGATATTGTTATGCTTTAGTAGTCAAAAACTTACATACAGCACCTTTAATTGCAAGTATAAGATGAAAAACTGGATATAAAATAAATACAAATGAAACCTAACCTCTAAAAAAATAATGATAATAATAATAATAATAATAATAATACAAATGACAAAAGCACATACCCAAATTACTAAAATTGAACTAAAATTTAAATTAAAAAGTATCAAAATAAAATTTTAAATATTATTAAAAACTAATAGTATATTTAAAAAATACTGAAATAATACTGCTACCAAGAGGCAAAAGCTTGTGAAATATCACTTCAACTTTCACAGCAGACATCCGACATGAGAATTCACAAACACTCACACACACAAAAAAAACTCATGTTTTGGACCATGTGAATGTGGCAGCATTTACATTTTACATTTACATTTACATTTAGTCATTTTGCAGACGCTTTTATCCAAAGCGACTTACAATTGGGGGATACATAAAGCGATTCTTCTTAAAGAGGCAAACAGACACAAGAAGTGCTTGTAATACCAAGTTCTTAGACATTGTTCAAATAAGTACAAGCTAGAAAGAGGTTTGTTTGTTTGTTTGTTTGTTTGCTTCAGCACGGAATTATAAATAATAAGGTTTTCTTTTTAGAAAAATTGTGAAATATGAACTCAGAACATTTCTGAGTTTACATGTCACATTTGAGTTTGTTTGTTTGTTTGCTTCAGCACTGAATTAAAAATAATACGTTTTTATCTCAAAATTCTGACTTTTTTTCAGGCAATTGCAAGTTTATTTTGTCACAAATCTGACTTTTTTCAGAATTTATGTTTTTTCTGAGTTTATATCTGATCCAATCCGATGTTGCTTTAAAAAACTGGCTCCAAAAGTAAGATGGATTACGTGATCACGGATCGCAAAAAAAGGATTACTAAATCCGGATCAATTTTATCCGGATTAAACCTTTTGAAAAACCGGGCCCAGGTGAGAGGGGAAAAGGCTTTTAAAGCAGCACTATGTAACTTTTTCTGTGTTCAAAATTTGCTAAATGTATAGAATGAGCGAGTACATCATTGCAAATTCATCTTCCAAACCGCGTTTTTGTCTTATTCCGAATCACTACGGTACACTTGTAATAAGTACTTATATTTGGACTATTGCAGGCTGGTCGGGTCGTCGCGGAGTAACACATGCCTGCGTGAATCGCCATAGACATAAACTTAGAGAAGTAGATCCGGTCGGAATGTTCTTCCGCGGGATGTGTGCAGTTCTGTTTATTAACCGCTAGAGCGCCCAAGTTACTTAGTGCTGCTTTAATGCAATTAAATATGCAAATCATTGATGCTCACTTTCATATTTGTCATTTCCAGGGATTAAGTAATATTAATACATATCTGTCTTTTTATTTATATATCTATGTTATATGGCGATTGTGAGCTATAAAGTCAAAATTGCGTGATATAAACTCGCAATTAAAATAATATAAATAAAACTTGCGAGTTAAAGTCCAATTTTGACTTATCAATTTTGACAATTTTAACTTAGGGGGGGGGGGAAATCGCATAAAATTGCGAGTTTATATCTCGCAATTCTGACTTTATATCTCGCAATTCTGACTTTATACATACTAAATATCACACATAAATAAGTGCGGAGATTGATCTTTCATTGCATTCCCCTGTGTTTTACAGTAGTTAAAGCATTCAGTTTACTGCTCTTAACTGAAATTCTGCATGAATGCGTTGTAATATTGAGCAATGTTCTCTCTCTTCTCAGTTTAAGAAAAGTCCCCCTAAAGTCCCTTATAAAGCGATCGCCCTGGCAACCGTTCTCTTCCTTATCGGCTCCATTCTGATCATCATCGGATCCCTCCTGTTAGCAGGATACTTTGAAGTTAATGATGTGAGTGCCATTGCACATTATTACAGCTCCATGCATTGCTTTCATGTTCTGCCTGTACAGATTGTGCCATTATTAGCTTCGCATTCAGATTTCTAGACACGTTCCTCGTGCATTTGTTAGTGTGCATTAGTTTGATTTCATTGCTCTGTTGTTTTATGTTTTTGATTTACATAATCCTAACAGCCTCATGGCTATTTGCAGCATAAATGCATTTCTTGAGTGTAAAGCAATGTTTTCTGCATTCTGTCAGACTGTCATCAACTGCAGTTGTATGCTTTATAGAAAGTTAAAGGCACAGCATACAAAAAGGTGTCATTTTCATTCAACTTGATGTATTAAAATAACTAAAACTAGCATAAATGTATGCATAAACTAAAACTTTTTAAAATGTTACTAGAGTTATTAATGCTTTAAGTAAAATTAAAATGAAAATAGAAAATGGAAAAATTAAAAAACTATAATAGTATGATATTAATATAACACTGGTAATTTTAGAACTTCATCTTTAAATTATTTTTGATTTATTAAAATTAAATACATTTTTGATTAAGTAATTTGTTAAGCTTTATGTAGGCCTGAAAATGTTGTGGACATTTCTAAAATGAATATACAGTTTATGCTATTGCCACTTTATTGTTCTAATGTAAAAATGTCTTTATTCAAAATTTAAAAAAAAAATCTATATCTAGTAATCACTAATGATTTGAGAAGACTTAATGAAATATATATATATGAATATGATCATTTTAAACTCCAATCTGGGCTGCTTTCATATCTGGAAATAACTTTGATACATATCTAAATTTTGTAATAACGTTTGAATATTCAGGTTTGAATTTGTGATTTTTCATTTGACATTCATCATAATTGTGCACTATAAAAAATTAAGAAATCGATACATTAAAATACCGATACTCTGAATTATATATAAAATCTATATATATTTGAGCAGACAATGAGACTATAAAAAAAACTTTTTAAACTGGGCCGCTTTCACATTTGCAAATAACCCTGATATGTTTTAGATTTTTGTAGTGATTTTTAACTTGCAATTTGTCAGAATTGTGTGTTATAAAGAGTCAATGAAAATAAATGCATTTGTAATAGGTTCATTGAAATACAAAATTATTTGAAATGGGCCACTTGAACAAAAAATACATATATTTAATAAGAAAAATGATCATGCAAAATACCCTTTGCACTAGATTGATCAGTAGATGGCAGACTTTGAGGTCCTCAGAAAACACTTATTTTTATCAGAATTAAAATTCTGATCTTGGCTACTTTCATATTTGGAAATAACACAATGTATCTGATATTTTTATAGTGACATTTTTGAATGGTTTAAACAGTTTTATATATAATATTATATATAATTTATATATAATATATATATACACACAGGTTGGAACAACCAGGTTGGAATTTATGGGATTTTTTTATTTATTTAACTTTGTGCACTATTAAGAATCTATTAAATAATAATAATTAATGCAAAAATACTCTGAAATTGGTTATACTTAAAGGGCCACTTGAATACAATTGTATTTATTTTATTTACTCATGTTTTTTGATCAGTCTGCATAGTCAGATTGGAATTTCTGTGATTTTTAACTCAACATTAGTCATAATTGTGCATTTAAAAAAAAAATCTATTAAAATTAATAAATTGATGCATTAAGAAATGGTCTGAAATAGGCAACAAAAAAAAGTGTATTTAAGCAGAAAATGAGAATACAAAATACCCTATAGATTGATCAGTGTATGACAGACTTTGAGGTCCTCAGAAAAGACATATTTTTGACAGTTATTAATGACCTGCGCACACATTTGACCCGGCGAGCTCTTAAAGTGGATATTTCTGTCTTTCTGTCACTCACAGCACCGTGATCGCACCATCCCAGTCCTGGTTATTGGAATCCTGGTCTTTCTTCCTGGGTTTTACCACCTGCGCATCGCCTATTACGCCTCCAAGGGTTATCGCGGTTTCTCCTACGATGACATCCCTGACTTTGATGACTGAGTGGCGGGGACGGGCTGTCAGCTGGCTGATCTGACAGAGCTTTGAACCTGGTTTTCCTGCACCGCCGCTGATGTCTGCCATGTCAAAATGACTTGACAGCCTCATTTTTTAACATTTTCATAGACTCAGAAGGTGATTGGAGTTCATGAACTAGTATGATGGTTTGTGTAATGAATATCACTTTATCATGGATTTAATGCCATTATTTGTAATGCAAACAGGTCTCCGATCAGTTGTTATATTAGTGTGCTGTATTGAGTTACAGGTTGTTGCGTCAAGCAAAGCCTGGGGCAAGAAAAACTACTCAAAACATGACATGCTGTTGGATTGCACTAGGGTTCAAATCAAATCTGTCATTAATGATGAGATTTTTTATATTTTTTTGAGGAAACACATTAACATTACTGTTTCAATCCATTCTTGAAATATAAAAAAGTTTTGTTTTTAAATTTAAAAACATTTGTGTATGATGTGAGTAAAGCACCATTACAGATTGTGCATCTTTAATGTCTAATGTCATGTCACTGGATTTAACTTATTTTATGTGATTTTATTGACATTACAGAAGATAATTTATGAATAAATAACTTGTTTTAAAATGAAGACTGATTGTTATCATGATTGCACTTAGAAAGCCTCTCAGTTCATTCAGTTTTTAAGAAAGAAGGTGAACCCTGATAATAAAACTACATTTACTATAGTTGTTATTGATGGTCAACTTGCGCCCCCGTGTGGCAGTGTGTGTGTGTGTGTGTGTGTGTGTGTACACTGTCCGTGTTTGAACGGGAAACAATCCTGTGAGTAACCGCACAAACTTCCCTGGACTGAAACTGAGAGACTCTCGAGACCGGCAGACCGCGGGAAACTTCACACACATGACGATATCTCCTTCAGTCCGGAGGAGAAACTGAATGGACGCCGAACAAGCACACGGTTTAAAGCAGACGACAGATCTAACGTGCGAACAGACCCACGGGACTTCGGTGTTCCGCGCTGGACTGACCTGCAGAGTACATGAAGTTTTAAAGAGCTGCTGCATTCACAGTATCACTGACGACACTCGGGCTCTGGTTCTGTTATCAAATCTTTTCTGCAGTACTTTTAAGAATATTTGAAGTGTTTTGGGGGAACTTTCAAGCGGAGGAAAAGGCTTAAAGCATCGATGGAGTGACACCTTCTTTTAATCATCAGTCAAGTGCCTCAAAAAGGTAAAAGACACACATATACATGCATATATATATAAGTAGACATATTGCAATCGTTTGCGCCGGCAGATGTTATTGTCAACATACATAATTCATACAGTATGTCAGAGCTGCCATTCATACGAGGCTTCTGTTTGAATTATGATGTCTGTGTCTTGTATGCATCATCTTAAGATGCTGTTCAGCTGCAGGTTTTGTCCTCCATGGCTTTATTTCTGTTTAAAAGTGTGTTTTCTGGGGTGCACGTGAGGTCCAGTGTTTCTCTTGAGAACAATGACCAGCACACAGTCTCTCTGACCAGAGCTGGACATGCTGGACATGCTGGATATCAGTCCTCCTGTCCAACACAGACACCTCATTCAGAGCTCTTCATTAAGCTGCAGGAGAGTTCGCTTTAAACGTGTTAAAAAACTGCATTAGATGAATGCTTTTTTAAATTTTATAATAAGCTACACTGTAAAAACAAAAATCCGTAAAATTTATGGTAAAAAACCGGCAGCTGTGGTTACCGGAATTTTACCGTAAAAAATACGGTAGCAACGTTTTAGGTTTTATGGTTTTAACTTAAATTTACAGTTAAATACCGTAATTTCATTAACTGATATAATGTTAATATACCAACCTACTGAAGTACTGAAATCTGTTTTGTACCTTTGTAATACACTGATAACCACCAAATGCAGGAGGTGATGAGAAAGCCACATGATGAACCAAAGCCCATCACAAGCAGCTTTTAAATAATAACATATATAGAAGGTGCACAGTGTCATTCACACAAACACTAAACACCATCACGGTAACACACATGAAACTGAAATAATGCAATAAACATTCATTTAACAACATTAGGTGTAACACACAACCCTAATATACAAAACTGATAAGAAAAAACTAAGAAGAAACATAGTTATTTCAACAAAAAAACATAACATTTTAAATGTAACGCAGGGAATTCTGGGAATGTCAATTTACGGTTATTCACTGTAAATTATACGGTATTTTTCACTTCCAAAAACGGTATACTACCGTAAAATTGATGTCCAATACATGTAATGTCCAATACAGTTTTTCACTGTATATAGTAGGGGAATTTACCGTTAACCATTTAACAGGTTTTTACTGTAGCATTTTTACAGTCTTTTACCGTTAAATTCACGGTCATTTTTTACAGTGTAGCTAATACTATTATATTTAAAGGGACACTTTTGGTATTCAAGTGGCTTTCCATACATATACAATATTGTTTAAATATTTATAGAAGTAAAATTAAGAGAAATGATTAGGTAATAGCTAATTCAAATATAAAAAAGTGACTTATTTATTTATTTATAAACTCACATTGGTTTCACATCGTTGTCAACATCTAAAAACATTTACACTACATTCTATATTTATGTTTAATATAAATATACATATAAGTATATTATATAATTAATATCTAAAACTGATCTATATTTATTTACATATTTATATATACAATGTATTTATTTAACTTTTATATTTATTTATTTTACATACTAAACTCTTGGTTTAACATGGTTGTCAACATCTAAAAACATTTACACTATATACTAAATGTAATACATTTACTATAAATATAAATATATATTTTAACATCTAAACACATTTAATTATTTTAATTAATTAATTGATTAAATTAGTGGTTTCGCATGGTTGTCGACTTCTGAAAAACAAATCTCTGAATTAAAGTTAAGTTTTTACAATGATATATATCCTTTGATTATTTACATATATTTATATATATAATATTTATATTTATAATTAATATTACAATAATAGAAAATATTAGATAGAAGTAATAGAGAGAGAGATGCATATACACCACATACATCTCAACGTAACATTAAGAATATTTATATAATTTTAATATCTATGAATATTTATTTATTTATAACTCTTCTTCTTGCACCAAAATTTTTTTTCATGCTTTTTCATTTTAACCCTATTTGTTCATTATTTGTATCATATTGTGATGTTCAGTGACATTTTATGTCATGTCAATTAGGATTTATTATACATCATTACTTCATATGACCTATATATTATTTAACACCTGCATGTATTTCAGCTGTGTGGCCTTTTAGTCTAGTTCATGCGTTGGATATATTTGATCTTTAATGGCTTGATATGCAATCTTATCATGTTTTACTGTAATTTCCAGCACCTGATATATATCCATATATAGTATATGACAAAAGATAAGAGAGCTGTATTTCAGAGAGAGAAAGGGTGCTGAGCTGTGTGAATATAAATATCTTTACAGTTGCTGTTTGCCAAACATATACCTGCGGAAGCTAACTAAAGCAGTTTAACCTGTCGTGCTTGGATTAGTTTGTGGTATACTTTGGTCTCTGGGTCATGCCTAACAATGTCAAAATGAATGGCTTAACCTGGACTAGAGTGAGCGGTGAGGGTCAAACGTCAATGAGCTTTACTGACTCACCTTCTGCTCTCAAATGCTTTTGAAGCAGATATTATTGACCCACATTAGACAGTGTTGTGATGATACACACAGCTGCTGTAAGATCAAAGGTCGCAAGGATAACAAATGTCATCATGGTTATCTTGATACCTTTAAGCATTTTATTGTTTTCTTTCTGTCTGTTGCATCATGCCCCTGCTTCTTCTTGAGATAATAACTAGAGGTGTCTGCTAAAGCAAGTGTCACAATAGAGTGCAACATTGTCCGCCCACTTTTCAGTGGCTTGATTCCGGAAGTATTTTTCCCATAGGGATTTTAAAAAGGAACAATTCACCCAAAAATGAAAATTTGCTAAACATTTCCTCACTCTCATGCCATCCAAAATGTAGATATGTTTGTTTGCTTATCAGATTTGGAGAAATGTAGCATTCCATCACTTGCTCACCAATGGATGCTCAGCAGTGAATGGGTGCCGTCAGAATGAGAGTCCAAACAGCTGATCAAAACATCACAGTAATCCACAAGTAATCCACACCACTCCAGTTCACCAGTTAACGTCTGGTGAAGTGAAAAGCTGCGTGTTCGTAAGAAACAAATCCATCATTTAGTAGACATTTTAACCTCAAACCATTGCTTCCAGTTATACAAGTCCATAGTCCATAATAATGTTGATCTGTGCATATTTCTCTCCTGATTCAGACAAGGTGGCTTTTTCAATGGAGAAAGCAATATTATGAATAGAGGTTTCAGATTTTAACTTAATGCCTTGATGGATTCAATCATAATATTAATCTTAGGGAGATTACATTATTCGATTACCTCATTCGGTGTGCTTCATGGATGTGGGTGGGCATTAAAGTGTTCTTTTGGCACAATTATTCTCATAAGGGCCTTTCGCACCACGGGAACCTTTTCATAGTACCAGAACTAATTGTGGAACTACCCACTTTTTGGCGTTTTCGCACCGCCGGAACTGGGTGCAATTTTAGTACCGGACTGCCTTTTTCGAGAACCAAATTAACTCCTACTCCGGAGCAGGGTCTAACCAGCACAACTGGTACTAATCGTGACGCAAGTAGACATTGATTGGCCAAACGCGTATGAAAACGCCCTCACCCGCCATGATTTAAAACTCTGTGTAAACATACTGTAAACATTGTGTCAACTTATTTAGCAAGAATGGAGATCAGCGATGGATGGACGGACGCTGAAGTGCAGGCACTTGTAGCAAATGTAGCACTGCCAGTTGTCGTTGGAGATTCTTAGTCCTCCTTTCCGTTCTTTCAATCGCTATATATACGTCGACATTCCATGTCCATTATTGTGAATCCCACGAGACACAACAAAAACACAGCTCCGATCACAGCGTCCTCCATCCTCCTGTTGTTAATGTTGTTCTTCTTTGTTTCCGTTGTTGAACGCCGCGCACAAATGACGACGCTGTCGACCGGCTTACGTCACTTCTTAGTACACACTGTCGGTGTGAATGCAACCCTTTAAATGGTACTGGGAAATAGTTTGCGCAAAATCGGCCCAGTACTTTAGTACTGTACATTTAGTTCTGGAACTAAAGCGGTGTGAAAGGCCCTATAGTTTTTCACCGGGATTCTTGCTGTTAAACACAAATATTAAAAAACATAAACTCAAAGTGCGGGCTTATGGCTTCAACAAAAGCATATACCTTCGAATAACAACCTCTTAGCTCATAGTGGTTCAGTCTTTTAAGGTTTATAAGTTTATATCTCACAATTCAGACTTTTTTTCTTGCATTTGCGACTTTTTATCTCACAATTCTGACTTCTTTTCTCACAACTGACCATTTACACGACAA